TACCTCAGTTTTTGAATTTTATTTTAGCAATTAAACAAATCCCTAGAACAAAAAAACAGGACGAAAACAACCAAGAAGCTAAACTGGCAATCAGAAATGAATTCATGATTACCAATTTAGCATTTGATTTTAAATCTAACCTGGCCACCATGATTCCAAGTCTTGAGGCGGGCAGAGAAGGTGCCAGCGGGAACAAAATCGGAGTCACCGAAAGCATGCTCCAAAGAGAACTGTATCTTTGAGTCAGACTCCGACTCCAAATGCCTTTCTGGGAGGATCTAGTAGCAGCAGGGATAGATGCGGGTTCAGGGAAGCGAGGTGGAGCACCCTCGAGATTGAACTCCTCGTCATCTAGGGGGAGCTCATCGGATTTGAATTGGAAAGAGGGGAAGGAAGAGCGAGAGAAAGAGAAAGAAAGCTAATATCACTCTTTTCTTCATTCTTCTGGTTTTCCTGTTAAGAGGAGGAATCAACGGATTTTGGGGCGTGAACAAGAGTGATTGGATTCCTCCAAACGACAGATGACACTTTGTCATTTTAATTTTTTCGGTTAGTCCCGGAACTTTTTTTTTTTTCGAGTTCCTATAAATTTAATAAGAAGTTAATTTCGATTATTTTACCCTTAATTTTCAAAATTGTTATAATTTGGGGGTTAAAACTTCCAATTTCTCAAGTTGAAGAAAATTTTGATTTCTAAATTAAAATAAGCTCTGACTAGATGTTAAAACTATTTTACTTTTGTTTACATGTTAAAACTATTTTACTTTTGTTTACATTAAATGCTAAATTAATTATACAATAGAAAATAGGTTTTATATTTCTTTAATTTTTTTCACGTCTTATGATTTGATGTCAAATCATTAACTTAGATTTCAAATTTTTAATCATTTGAGATTTTCACTTGAAACTTAAAAGTATTCAAATTTAGGGAGATGTTAAGATAATTTTTAAATGGAAGATTTGCTCTTAAAATTGTTCTCCTTTTCTCTTTTTATGAATGATAATTCCATTAATAATTTAGGAAGTTGGTTTATAAAGTCTGCAAATAAAATGATTAGTCATAAATTACAAATTTTAGAAAACATGCATGATTGGTAATCCCTTGAAAGAATTATCATTTCACCTCTCAAAAGAAGCATTGTTCACCCACCAAAGCAAATTCTAGATAGATCTTGTGATCCCACTTCTCTTTGGTTTGTTACAACAAAACCTATGTAGCAAACTTTGAATAGCAAAATCTAGGTTGTCACCTTATTTATCGTAAACCTTTACTCATGGGGTCTCCCATGCCTAGTTAGTTAACCTAGACCAAACCCAAACCGAAGAAACCAAACTTATAAAAATATTAAAATTCTATTTAGATCATCAACTATATAATATGATAGTAAAATTACTTTTACTTTCAATCACAGATTTATAATTCAATCCCTAAGCGAAATTAAAGTTCTATTTAGTATGACAATAGTTTTTTGTTTTTATTTTAATGTGTTTTTGTAACATACTGTCATAATTATTAAAATATGAAGAATAAAATAATTTTAATATTATTAATCAAGTTTATATTTTTTATTGTCATTTTAAAACTCAACTTAAAAAAATTATAAGTTTTTTTTTTTTTTTTAATTTTTAGTGTTGGGTTTTAGTAATTGTAAAATTGAAGAAAACTAAAATTGAAAACAAAAAACCATAACTATACTACATAAAGCATAGAGAAAATGACAAAAGCTGTAACCCTTCAAAACTTGATGGGTTGGCCATCCAAAATTCAGCATGCCTTAGCATGCTACTCTCGATCCACCATCCATGCCATAAGCCACCCCCTTTTACACCTTGCTGCCTTTCATCGCGTAGCTAGCATTGTCTTTAGAATATGTTTGATTTGAGAAAAACGGTGGGGAGGAATGAGTTTTTTAATCCATCAAATTATAACATTTTTAAATATTGCAATTAGATTGATAAAAAAAATCCATCCTTCCCTTCCCCTTGCCTCCCCTTCATTTCCTTCAAATAAAACATACCATTAGGGATTTTGCACACAAATCTTTAAGAGATTAAAGCCAATGCTCTTATCTACTTCCAATCTAAGGAGGGCACTTGTGCCGCTCCAACTCCCATCACAACAATCTGCATGCCAACCTCCCATGGACAACCAACCTAACCCTCCATCCATTGAGCGATAGTAAGCATAGGTTTGCACCAAAAATAGTCCTAATTGCACACTCTAGCACTCCAAGATTAGAACATTGTGACATTGCCATGCAGACCTTCAATGCCTTAACACCAAAACCCTAGACTAAATGAGAAAATAATGTCCCACTGGGGAATGACTTTGTTCTTGGGGACTAACCACCTTCAATGGTGGACTCACCCTTTTACATTACACAAAGCCCTAGGCCAAAAAGAGGGCCATGCTTATAAAATTATTCTTTAATTTTGAGACACATGTAAATTAATGTGAATAACATTGTAACTATTATAAAAATTAAACAATTTTCAATTAAGTTTAAGTTCAACCAAAGATGTAAAAGGTACTTTATATAGAGAAAGAACATTCATATTTTCATCAATCCCTTTTTTAAAGTCGAGGAAGGAGGCAATGAGGAAATTAGAAAACTAAAGATATGTTGGTTTGATATCAACAAGAGAATCAGGGGTGTGGGGGGAGAGAAAAAATTTAGTTGAGGGGAAAAGAGGTAGAGGAAATTATGAGAAAAAGTGCAAAATCTTATTCCAGATTGGTCTGCCCTTGATGCTAACGTGGATGACTTACCCAAGTATTTTTGAATCTCCAAATATCTCGTCTAAAAATCCTAATCATTATTTTAATTCTTGTGAGATTTTCATACATAGATATTAATGCACCCATAATTGGTGCCTAAAGTGTATCAATTAGACAAACCCTTAGATAATACAACCTCTTAATTCTTGTTTTCTACTTTCCTCATTCTCTCATTTCTCCACTCTAAAATAAAAATGAAATAATTAATACACTTAATATGCGAATAAGTAAAACTCTATGCATAAAAACAACTAAGTAAAACTCTATGACACAAGAAATAGTTAAGGTTGTGTTTGGTAACATCTTTCATATTTTACTTTTTACTTTTTAGTTTTTTATTATTTTAAAAATATATAAAATATTAATTAAAATAAATATTAAATATATCATATATATTTTTAATATGTTAAAGAATTTAAAAACTTATAACC